TGAACACGCATTTAGCAGTAGAGAACAGCCAGAAAGAGAGCGGGCAAATAATAGCGCGTTTGGCTGTGTTCTAGGCTAGCCGTACGGCAGCGCGGGCCGTGTATGGAAATTGCTCCCGGGTGTCACTACACTCCTGCCGGTTCCCGTTCTTACGAGGGAGAAATTGCAGCTTTAGCAGCTGCGGACACATTTATCCCACATAAGGTAAAGACCAGAGGAAGTGTACATTTTGTCGTTAGGCTAAGAAACGCATATTTTGCCGCGTTTTATCCATGGCATTCTAGCAGAGCTGCACCTTCATCTCAGAAAACAGTGTAACTTAATAAATATGCATGAAAAAGTTGCTCATATTCTAAAAAACCAGCATAAATTAAGTATTGAAAGATGTTCTAGCCTTACTATTATAAAAAAAAGAAAAGATCAATAAAGTAAACACTCCTCACGTACCTTTGCATTACCAATAATGATCAGGCCATATTTAGCCCTAGTTAAAGCCACATTCAAACGGCGTGGATCATTCAAGAAACCAATTCCAGAGTGGTCGTTAGAACGTACGCATGTGACGATGATCAGATCCTTTTCACGTCCCTAAAACGAATATAAGCCTTGAGGCACGAAGTTCGACATGACTGTATCTTCCACAGCACAATAACAGTGACAAGCAAGTAAAGTAAACATAAGGGTCAAAGATATAACGACATACGGGACCAGTTGCACCTTAGCAAGAAGGTATTGAACATAACCTAAACACCATTTCCCAAACACACCTGAAAGGCGTCAACGTTCGCTATTTCCATATTCTCGTACAGCTTGCTGTTGAGCGTCCCCTGCGTATGCATATATTGCACGATATAAGATCGTTGTCCTTCATATGGAGTGATGATGCCTATCTGTTCTGGCCGCATGCCACCTCTAAACACAGGATAGTGAATCAAATTGCCTTTCCACAATGAACTAAAGTGATTGGAGTACGGTACTATTATCACCGCTGTCTCGCTGGTTCATATTTGAGCCAGCGTACCACCATACAGCAGCGTACACCAGCGACTAGGAAATCGTGGTTATCCGTGCAGCGCACGCAGCGCTTTTGCGAGCAGTTCTGCTCAAGCTAAAATTGTCCGCTGGTGTGCAAAACAAGAACGCAGTCTCCGCTTTGTGGGAAGGAGGGGGATTTGAATGATTCGTTGTGCAAAACTAATACCACTACGGAGCGACACTTTACCCATAGAAGGTGGTTTACCCTTTTTCTTCCTAGGCTTCGCCAAAAACATCCTCTCTATGTAGTCCACTCTTGGACAAGGAGCCTTTTGCACGCCTCCCCTCCAAAGCAAATAGCACAAAAAACGTCCAATAAAGTCTAACAAAACCTCCAACTCACCTTATCAACTTGCTGGCAAGTTTCTCTACATTTGCTGCTTCTGTTCTATTCAGGAACGATGTACCGCTAGCGCTCATCTCCTCTTGCCCATAGCACGACCAAAAAATCATTGGACGCCCAGGAACCGGCCATTCCCAATCTACACCGCGAAGTTGACGTTCGGCTGAAGTAATGTTTACTTGGGAACTTTTATCGATTGAGAAACAAGATGTTGAAGCTCTCGTGGGGACTCACTTTGAGTTACTCCATTTTGCAAGCTACCCTCGTAAAAAACATTGCTCGGGAAGGATGACAACTCTGGATGCATACGATATTGCACCTAAATGACATCGATCAAACCGTATATCCAATGGAAGAGATCTCAGTCACGTACCTGGAGTCGAATCGGTCGATTGCCAAGAAGAACAAGGCGTTCGAACAAAGACTGAGATAAGCCAGCCTTCGAAGCCTGAAAAGGCACATACGCCTAGATAATTAGCGTTTCTAATTCAAAGGCACACGCAGAGTTAGAAAAATGGTGAATTGCGCGGCTCGAATACTAATGTCAGGGCGGTAATCAGCACAGTTGTGAAAAAAAAAGAAAAAAAAGCCGCCGGAAATGGCCCATGTAGAACCCAAGGCTGAATCGCGTTTGTACGTATATGAGGAGAAGAAAGGGGTGATTGGATGAAATCTCACTTGTTGGCGTCGGCTCTTCCTCCTTATAATCTTACCATTCGAAATGGAAAGAGCCAGTATTGGAACAACCGCACCACCAGGAAACCTTTGGCAATATAAATTGGGCATTGCCGTGGGTGGGCACAGTCGTGGCCTCGTCGCGAGCGGGTCACCCTTTCTTCACATATTTTTGTAAGTGGTACATTCTCAGTGTTTGCGAGCGTGACTACCATTTGTGAAGGCGTCTTAGACATAAAATGAACGCGAAGCGAGCCATTGACAATTCAACCGTACTGAGAAGTAATAAATCCCACCTTCTTGCATAAGATGACGGGTCCGAGTTGACAATGATCTCCTACCAGTATGAGCTGTCGAACACCTCTCACTATTGAAACGAGCACTTCTGGTTCGGTTGCTTGGGTCGATTCGTCAACCAAAACACACCTTTAAATACATCGAATATAGAAATCTATCGCAAAAAAACATACTAACAGGAGCACTGATTGAATCGAAGGGAACTCTCACTTGATTTTAATCCTCGACAGACGTGCGTCGGCCGCAGAAGAACACGTACAACAAATCACGTCAGCGGCCGCCAGGAGCTTATGCTCACTCATTTTCTTCAGATTGATGTAACGCTCCTGATCAGCAGCCGACAATTCACCAATTTCTTCCTAAACTTAAAACTTTTTCCCCCAACGTATACAAATGACCCTCACGCATTAGAGAATTCCAAAAACCTTCAACTGTTGAAGTTTCTGCAATTCGGCAGACTCCTTGAGCGCTTTCAACTGAGCGTGCAATGCAAGAAATTCAACGTTTGTGTCCAGTGCTTCTCGAGACTTCGCATAAAGCCGAACAACCTAAGGGTTATAATATTAACGGTCCATATTCTCAACACATAGGGCGTAAAAATGGAAAATAACTTGAAAAGCACAAGCAGATCCTCACCTTCAGCCCAGTACGGTGAATCTTCTCAGCAAGTTGATCCACCGCAATGTTAGATGGAGAACAAACCAACACTTGACCTT